TTTTAAATATTATTTTTTTGGAAAGAAAGATACAAACAGGAAAAGGAAAAGGTAAAATCATGGAAGGATCTCTGGAGACTGCCGCTTCCAGCCCGGCTCGCAAAACAAAACTGCGAAGGGGAAGAGGCGCCTCTTCAATGTCAGGGCCGCGATACAACACAAAAGCACGGCCGTGCGCACGGCAGCGTGCCGCTCACGCCGCGGTGCGCACGCACGGTCACTGTCCCAAGGCTGTGATGCCACCGGCGCCCGGAGCAGCAGCAGCAGCAGCAGCAGGAGGATGACGACGGTTCCGGAGTTCCGGCCACGCTACGCCCGCCCACTCCGCTGCTGTAATGAGTGTAACAAGGCGCGCATCACACATGGGGCATGGACCGTGGCGGTCCAGCAGCAGCAGCTCATGGATGTGGCAGCAGCCGTAGTGGTGGGGCCAACGGCCGCCGCGCCGGGGCTCCCGCGCTGCGTGCACACACCAGCAGCCACCGAGACTGACAGACTGTCAAAACGACCACGTCAAAATGAAATCGTTTCCCGAAGCGGCGACGCATTTCCCGCGACACCACTCGCGATGTGTGCCACTTCGCTCATACGACGCTGCTATGCTATCATATGGTGGTTGGGAGGACAATGCAGCGAGTGCGCGTCGCGTCACTCGCATGAGATGAGCAGAGCTGCCTTGCTTACTGCGCGCAAACTACTCGCTCCGCAGGAAGTTGCGCGGCGTTATCGTCTGCCTGCCCGCCTGCTTACTTCTGCACACACCTGCTTCGCTGTTGATGCCGGACGCGCGCATTCCCCTCGAGGGGGGGACCCCGCCCCCGCACCGCCACTATCGGCCGCACTTCGTGGAATGAAAAAGTCGAAAAGAGGAACAAAGGGTGAACGGCCGCCTCCCCCGTCGAGACAACGTCGACGAGCTGTCAGAACTTATCGAAAAAGCTTTCACGGCAGGAGACGCAGGCACCTTGTTCCTCCTCGAGGGCATGCTGCTGCTGCTGCTGCACCCGCCGCCCGCCCGAGAGGATGCAGTCGTGGGGCTGCACCTCGGGCTGCATCGCCAGACGTGGAGAAAGGGTTCCCCGGTTAAAAATAGGCGCATCGTCGCGTGGCCTGTCGTCGGCGGCCTCTTCACGCCGCTCGCCGACGGGCCCCCCGGCCTGTGAGTGTGTGTGCGTGGAGGCGCGCGGGCGATGCAGCCAGTCCCAATGGAACTGATATCACCACAGAGGACGACGGAGACGGACGCCTTTGCTGCGGCGACCAGCGGGCCTCGGGGGGGCCTTGGCCACTTCGGGTTGCTGTGGGCGGGCCGCCGGGCGGGCGGAAGGGAAGGGGGCCGCGGAGGAGACGACTCCATCCGTGTCCACCCCGCCGAGAATTGAAATATAATGTATTTGACCGCCGAGCAGCACACGGGGCACCTCTTATTCGCCGAACCTATTCCGAACGGGGGGCCCTGAGTGACATCTTCTGGCCCAGGTCGCTACTTGACCCCTGCATTGAGGCGGGCACTGTGTGTGACGTCGCGCGCGGTTTTCCAGAGTCGCCAATGAGTCATTGCAGCACAACGACCGTCTTCTTAGCCCGTCTGCCACAGCGCCATGCACAGCACGCCGAGCGGGGCTGCCTCTCTGATGAGCACTGACGGCAGGAGAAAGCCCCCAAAGATATTGTCGGTTGTGCTGTAACGGCTGGTTGGGTGGATGCTGCTGCTGCCGCCGACGCCTGGACCACGAGGAGGGAGTTAAACGGCTCGCCAATGTGCTTCTTTTTTCTTGCCCTCCCCTCTCCCGCTTTATAAATCAAGCCGGCAAGTCTCCTTCTTCCTCTCTCTTGTTTTTCGTTGTTGTCGCCTCATTGGCGTGCGAGGCTTCCCGATGGCGGCCTAAAGACTGTGTCGTGTGACTCATTTGGGATTCCGCTCCGTCACCACTTACGTATCGGATCCGTTTTACCACCGTGCGTGATGTCGCCGTAGCGTTAGAGTGAGCTGTGTGATAGGGCAGCTAGCCTTGCTGACTCTCCAGCCGAAGGGACTGGATTTCACAGAAGCATGCTGAATAATTCAATCCGATTGGGGAGGGGGGTACTTTCCAATAGGACAGATAAAGTGGGAGAAAAGAGATAGGGGGAGAGTGTTGTTTTGTTTTACCTAAAGGCCCATTTACAATGTGGCCCGATAGAGATGAGTTAAACATGTCACATTTAGTTTTTTTCGTGCATATTTTTTCTCAAACTTTTGAAACTTGAAGAAAAGCAAATCTAAGATGATAAAAACAAACACTATGTGTCAGTAGCTGACGCCTGTGAAATAGGCAAAATCTTGCTGTGGGACTCAGCTGAGTCGGGCGGGTGGCCTACCCTCAGGCCGGCAGGCGTTCAGCTCGGGGTGACATTGGTCCGGACAGGCCTTGTCTTGTGGGTGGATTTAGAGAGAGGAGGGGGAGGGGAGAAAAAAGTGAAGAGAGAGCAAGATAGAGGACATCCCGCGCCATCCTCTGCGCCATTCTAATCATGACCATCAGGGTAATTTTTTCCCCATCCGTATGCACCGCCCCCGGTTGCTGCTGCATGATGCGGAAATGAAAGTCAGCCTTGGCCGAAAACTGACGTCATGACATCATCATAATCCTAGCCCCACCTTCCTGTGCCCGGTACACGAGGGAAAGGTGAGAGAGAGAGAGAGAGAGAGAGAGAGAGAGAGAGAGAGAGAAGCCGCGACAAATCCGGGCAAGGGGATCATGAGGCTTATGGCTGGGGCGGGCGGGGCACATGTTCACCGGGCCACAGCCGGGCTGGGCTGCAGGAGGGAATCGAAAGGAGCCTCTCCCTCGCCTCTCTCTCCCCTTCTCTGCTCTCGGGCCGCGACCGGCACCGGCGCGCCTGCAGGGAAACCTCTCCGCGCGCCCCGCGCCAGCAGCGCCAGCTCACCTACGTGTTGTTTCTCGCGATCTCTTTTCGCATACGCCGCCGTCCGGCCGTCCGGCTGGTCGCAGTGGGTGAAAGTCAAGTCATGAAGCGCCGTGGGCTGCGCCGGGCCCCGCCCGCCGCCATGTCCTCATGCTGCCGCGCCGGCCGCGGGGTTCATTTCCAGGACGATTGCGACGCCCCTCCCCGCGCTGTTGGCTGGTCAGCGCGGTGACCGGAGCGAAGCGTCTTGCTGGACACTACCGGGCCGTGGTGGCCACAGCCTTGCGTGGCGACTGGAACGAAGCTTCCAGCGGTGGCCACAGTCCTCATGCTGGCTCGGCTGGCCCCGAGTAGGGACCAGAGCGAAGAAGCCTGTTGGACTCTACCGGCCCGGGCCCTGTGGGGCAACTGGAAGTGAGCTGCCCGTGGTGACCACAGCCCTCGTGCTGGCTCGGATGGCCGTGCTGGCCCGGATTGGCGACAGGAGCGAAGACGCCTGCTGGACACTATAGGCCACAGCCCTACTTGCCCTTGGGATCGTCCAGAAATTACGTCGTCTTTCTCAGATGCACTCCGCACATTGCGCCTGGTCGGCGCCTGCGAGACTCGGGGTAGGCCACCCCGCAGTACGCGCTAGCACTGTAGGCAAGATGTTGCCTGCCTACCAGGCGCTACGGGAGCTTGCATCGGCTGGGCTGAGCTGCTGAGCAGCATAGTTGACTCGTACGTAAACGGCGAATGACGGACGTTCTTTCTGGGCGATCCTCTACGTGGCGACCGAAAATGCCCGTGGTGTGGTGGCCACTGCTCTCACTGATAACTAAAGTGTTCAACGGCGTGCTCATTGCTCAACACTACGTTGCACAGTTTTAGTGTTTTGACTTGATATTTGTATACTATGAAGTGTTAAACAGTAAAGTTGAACACTTGGGAGTGTTCAACACCAGGGTTAACCATGAACATTTTGACACTTTATAGTGTCCAAATTTACTGTTAAACACTTCATAGTATTCCAATATCCAGTCAAACACTTGAAACTGTAAAATGTAGTATGGAGCATTTGCATGTGCACGCCAGTTGAACACTTTCTTTATCAGTGCTCATGCTGGTCCGGGACTGTCCTGCTGGCCCTGCGTGGCGACCGGGGCGAAGCGACCTGCTGGACACTACCGGGCCGTGGTGGCCACAGCCCTGCCGGCCCTCACCGCTGACACGCTCCCGTTTCGTCGGCAGTGGGTCAGGTCGGGCGCTGGCGCCCTAAAGTGGCTCTTAGTCCTGGGCTTTGGACTTCCCTAGCTTGCGTGCCTTCTTACCTCCCCTCGCCGCAAGGGTCGGACGACCGCAGCTGTCGCGGTCAAGCTCGCCTCTTTGGAGCCGGAGCCTCGTTTTTAATGTAGTTGTTCTTGCCGTTTTCAGAGGGGCGCTAACCACCTACCTCACAGAATTGGCCCGATGTAAGAGTGATGCGTGTACGTGTACACGTCAGTGCGTGTGTGTGTGAACCACGCAAGGGTGGCGGCGAAAGCCAGCCGTGGCGGACGTCGCTTCCGCGGGAACTTCCGATCTGCGTGCCTGACGTCGCCTGGCGTCCACCTGCCGGCG